GAGAGAGAGAGAGAGAGAGAGAGAGAGAGAGAGAGAGAGAGAGAGAGAGAGAGAGATGTTATGATCCTGGTTGCTTGTTGTGAGAAGACCAACACTCACTCACATAGACTTCCAGGTATGCCCATACATACACAGAAGGACGGGGAGAGAATGGGAGTATCACATCGCACAGGGAGAGATAAACACAGCGGAAGACATTTGCATGCGATATGACAGATGTTAGGATCCTGGCCAATTTCGAAGTATACAAACATCAGAAAGTACAATTCCGTCCAATTGCAAAAAGAAATGAATGAACTTGAGAGAAGAGTGAGGGAAAGAAGAAGAAGAAGAAGAAGAAGAAAGAAAGAAGAAAAGATGATATACTCCAGCATAGGCGAATGAGATTTCTCGTCTTCCTCACTAAAGAATCTCCTCCTCCTTATCTCCTCCCCTCTTATTCAAACAAGAAATAACAATAATAACGTTGAAATGGCTGAACCAGAATCAATGCGCGAATCCCACTTCTACTGCAGTCACAACATGAGGTCCACCATAGCCATGGCCACCCTTCCTCTTCCTCTACATACAGGCCGAGGCTATGGTGGAGTACTGAGGGCTCTCCCTCCTGTCCAAAGGACAACCCAAAGCAGATATGTCGCTGCCCTTCTGTTCCCAGGTTAACTCCCTGCAGCTATGCTGCTGCCTACTCAACCGCCATGCCTGACTCTGTCCCGAGCTTCCTTGTTGCGGCACTACCCCCACTGGGGCCTTCCAGATGCAGCGCCTAACAAGGTGATGAAGATGGTGTCTACCATAGCCAGGTAAGTACCCCGCCACTCTCCTCCTTGGTCCCCTTTTCCCTCCTCCTCCTACCGATAGAGCTCCACCATAGCCAAGGTGGAAGCTCCCGGCTTCTTCCTCCCAGCAGCGCTGTAGTACCCAGCGCTACTCCAGCCAGCTCTCCAGCAGCGTATCGCCAAACTTGTACACTGAAGAATGAGGCCGAGCTCTTGCCTTGGCCTCTTGATATAGCGGCCTAGCCTACCGCTACTGGGCCTCTAAGAATGCCAACTTTGTCTTCTTCTGCTCGGCCTCGAGTACCCGGCACATCTACTGCTACTGGGTGTGGTACCGGCCTTTCTGCTACTTGAGTGTTTTTCCGCTGCTCTAAGCACTGCGGGCCCCTGGCTCCTGCTACTTGAGTGTTTTTCCGTGCTGCAAACCTCAATGCCACGGCCACAGGTAAGTTCAGTCCCTAGGGGCCTGCCAAACAAGCAAGTACCCTTGCGGGTCACACACACACTCATGCCGACAAGCACTCAGACAGGCACGCAAGTCCACAGGCACGCACACATAGAGACTTAGAAACCACAACAGAAAATGCGGGAATCTTGGCAAGGCATCCATTCCATCGGCAGAACTTCAGAAATCAGCAGTGTTCTCAGTCTGTGTTATGGCGGGTCATTACACTACCACCCTCTCAAGAGTGACGTCCCTTCGAGAGAGTAACTCAATCAGAGTCCTTGCATAATGCATCATAAGCATAAATAGCAAAGAGAGATCGGGTATGTTCCGCAAGAGTGAGGGTAGCAGTAATTTTAGGCTGCTGTTTGGAACTAATCAATCGTTCGTATGCGTTGACGACTCGCGGGGCACTCTGCAGCAAATCTTTCTAAGCAATCCAGTAAAAGTCATTCAATGGATGATATAGGAAGTGGACTTTGTATTGTCTGTTTCTCTCCTTCCCACTGTGCTCGACAATTCTGTCAATCTCGTAACCGCCCTTGATTGCACGAGGAATCGTTGATTCTCGATATGGAAAAGTTTCGGGTGATTCATACGGAAACAACTTCGATGCATGAAAGACTGGGTACGCGCGCAGATGAGGAGGCTTGTCGATCGTGTAAGAAGGACCAAATGAATCACTCCCTACTCGGTTCAGCACCTTCCACGGACCGTAGTACGGAGGAAGAAGCTTCCGTGATACATCTTCTTTAGAAAACTCAGACATCTTAACCCAAACTTGACTTCCCACTGTGAAAGGGTGAAGCTGGCGCTTTTTGTTTGCATGCTTAATCATGGTACTGCGTCATTTTTCCATAGCTGTGACAACAACTTCGAGCAAACGATCAAACTTAGCGCTGTAGCCTGGCTGGCCAGGTGTCAGGCCAGGTGGCTGTTCAGGAAACATATAGGATAGAGGATTGCGAATCTTCCACCCTATGTGCCGCCGATTAGGTGTAATCCCGGTGGAGGAGTGTATGGACTTGTTGTACAACCCCTGCACAATCGGCAACTCCTCATCCCAAGAGTTCTGATCAGGCACAGTTAGAGGTCGAAGAAGTTGGATCACAGTCTGGTTGATCTCCTCGACCAGTCCATTGGCTTCGGGATGTCGACCAGATGTCATCTTGAGTTTGATGTCATAGATCTGGGAGGTGAAGTCCTTCTAATCTGCACTTATGAACCTAGTGTCCCGGTCACTCATGGGAGATTTCGGGGGCCCACACTGCAGAATGTACTTCTTATGAAACTCTTTGATCACAGGGTCGGTTGGGGTGTGAGGTGGTAATGGAATCAGATTTAGAAATTTTGAAAAGCGGTCAACGATCAATCTTACTTGTGAATATCCATTCCTACTCTTATTTCCCATGTCCTACTCTTATTTCCCATGTCCGTGAAGTCGATAGACTCACCCGGGCCCTCAGGAATAGGAAGAGGGTGTTGCAGCCCCGTAGGGCTTCTGTCGAGATGGTTTGATGCGTTGAGAGACTTCACACTGAGCCACAAACTTTCGTGCCATTCCTTTCATTCCAGGCCATACAGACTTTTGCAACAGGCTTCCGTATGTCTTCTCAAAACTGAAGTGTCCACTCCGGCCATGAGCCAAGTCCAAGAAGTGAGTAAGGATCGGCTCATGGTTGGGTACACACAGTCGGTCGTTCTTCCTGTAATGTCGGAAAAGGAAGCGCTTACATTCATGGAAATCAGGCGCTAGGGTCGGCCCGAATTTGCTCAAGGATGGGACTGTCCGGGTCCTTGGCAGTGTGCTCAATAAGTTCCTCCTTCAAATTCTTACGGAGATCATAGGAACCCACAAGGCAAGTCATGTACTTAGGATGGCCAGACAAAGCATCCGCAACGCGATTGTAAGAGCCTTTCTTGTGCTTAAGTTCAAAATCATACACATCAATCTCATGCAGCCAGCGGGTCAATGTGGCTGATGGATTAATTTGTGTCTGAATCCATTTCAAAGTCTCGTGATCTGAGAACACTTTGAAATGACGACCCAAGAGGTAGTGTTTCCAATGATCTAGTGCCTCTCTCAAGGCGTAGAGTTCTCGCATGTAAGTGGAGGCAGCTACCTTGTGACTGGGAATGCGTTTGCTGGAATATTCAAGCGGACGTAAGCCATCGCCGTCATCTTGCTGCAGCACTGCACCAATCCCATACAAGCTTGCATCCGTAGTTACTACGACTGTAAGTTTGGGATCTGCAATGCGGAGCATCGGATGACTCACCAAAGCCTCCTTCAACGCTTGGAGGGTTGTTGTGCATTCCCCATCCCATGTGTAATACACATTCTTACTTGTCAACTTGGACAGCGGACGGGCGATGATAAAGAATTTGGGTACAAACATACGGGTAGTATGATGCAAGACCGAGAAAAGAACGCAACTCGCGGACATTGGTCAGTTGAGGCCTGTTTCGGATGACCTCAACTTTGGTTGCCTCGGACTCTGTCCAAGGTAGATGATGGTGTCCCTCCCAAACTTAGATTTCTCCAAGTTGAGGTGTCTCATGTGCTCCTTCATCGACTTGCTGAAGATTAGTATGTCATCCAAATACACAACAACAAATCGGTTGATGTGATTGCGGAACACCTCGTCCATGAGACTTTGAAAGGTGGTCGGTGCATTCGTGAGGCCGAAGGGCATGACGGTAAACTCGTACGGCCCATCGCGAGTTTTGAATGCAGTTTTGTGCTGGTCTACAGGGTTGACTTCAATCTGGTGGTAGCCAGACTTGAGATGGATCTTGCTGAAGACCTTCCACCCACCCGCAGCATCAAGCAGATCATCAATACGCGACAAAGGATATGCATTATTTCTTGTTATTCTATTCAGCCCTCGGTAATCGATACACATCCGTAGTTTGCCTCCTTTCTTAGGGACAAACATAACCGATACACCGAATTTGGATTCGCTTGGCTTGATCCATCCCTTCCTAATCATGTCATCAATTTGTCTACGCAACTCTTCCAATTCGCCTGAGCCCATTCGATAGACACATCCTTTTGGAGGAGTGCTACCTTTTATCAACTCGATCTTGTGTTAGACCGGACGCACGGGAACTCCATGCGGTTCGACCAAGACTTCAGGAAATCGGTTGAGAAGGTTGCGAATTTCTGATGGGATCTCCGTAGGTGGATCATCACATTCAGGTGCAAGCATCCCGGATTGCATCGGTGCAGCCAAAACAACAGGATTTGAAGTAGAGTCATTTGGACTAGAACGGCAGGCAAAGTGGAATCATTATGTACAACAAAAATAGAAGGCACATGAGCAGGCCTAACAAAGGTTATATACATTTGCTCATCAACTTTGCGCCTGCGCCACTTTTTGCAGAATTGCATTGCACTGAGAAAAGTTACTTGGGACTCGTGCGGCTCGTCCAAGAGGACTGGACGCTCGATTCCCATGGCATCTTTGACCATGAATTGTGAGTCGATCCACATGGTTCTTTCACATTGGGCTTGCAACCAGCCCAAGCCAATAATCGCGTCGAAGGGACACTGATCAAGGGCATAGAAGTTCAGTTCATGCGTGATTGTGCGGTCAGCGTCAAAGGTAGTGCGCACACCTTTGACTGCATGCGTAGAGGTGACAACCTCTTGGTTGCCCACTTGGGTCCGACAAGGCTTCTGCAAGGTCACTTGCTTCATTCCCAAGCGCGCCTTACGAATGTCGTGCGGTGAGAAGTAGTTGGCGGTTGCACCACAATCAGCCAACACGCGGATGTAACGACCATTCATGTAGAGTTTGAAGAAGATCAACTTCGTTCTCCCTTGCGCGCGTTCTTGCCTCATATGAGCCGAGCGCGTCAACAAAGCATGGAAGTCAATTTCTTCCGACTCCACCCAAGGCTCCTTATAGAGGATGTGCAATTTCTCAGCCTTGGAATCAACATCAGATGGGGTTTCAAGAGAGGTTTGTTGAGTGGGATCAGAATCCAGTGAAGGACCTGCACTTACATGTTCAGCCTCTTCGTCTGTAGAGTGTGTTGATGATGTCTCTACCCCCTTTGCTGATTTGCCTGCTGCAGTTTGAAGCAATGTTGGACTGAATGTCCCGGTTTGGTGCAATGCAGACAAACCCCTTTCTTCACCCTCTGTTTCCACTCACTTTCACTGATTCGGAGATCTACCCATGGTTTTGTGGCAGGATCTTCCGGTTTGGGTGGAATCTTCGCTCCCTTGGGAAGGAGAATGGTGTTAGTATTGTTCTTCACTGTGGTCCTAAGTCCCTTACTTTTGAAGGCAGTCTCCTTGAAGGCATTCATAGATTCATCATCATTCACATACTCAGACTCATGGGCTGACGAAGAGCAAGATGCCTCGCAGCCGTGCTTTTGATTGTCATCAAGAGAAGGATCATCTGCGAAGGACTCCTCGTCATCCTCAAGTAGGTCGTGAGCTGCAAAACGGTTGCTGCTTGGAAATCGTTTGCGGCCGGTCGTCTTTTTGCCACCCGATCCGCCTGGGAGGTCTTATGCCTCCAGCTTGACTAAATCCCGCATGAGGGTAAACCAATCTGTATACGTTATGAGTCCGAGCCCTAGGTGATGTGTTATAGTAGAGGGGACCGTACCCTTAATCCCATCCAAACAAGACTGCGCAGTCATTTCCAGGTCAGGAGTAGCAAAAAGTTTACTAACATACTGCTGCAGGTTATGCATGGTGCCGGTCCTCTTGCTGTGCTTGAGCTTGTCAAGCTTAAGTCTAGCTTTGGTTGCAGCATGTGGATCAACATATTGCTTGATCAAGAGCTCTTCGAGTGTGGCTACAGGCGTAGCCTTCAACCATTTGTCCAGGTTTATATTTTTATAGCCTGCTTGTACAAGAATCCTCTTACGGCGGGTTCCACATTGGTCCCTAGGACCGACGATTGAGTAACTGGGAGTGTCCCCAACACATCAAAGTGGGATTGCATGGAGCTGATCCAAAATTCGTTGTCGTCCTTTTCGTCATACTTAGACGGAATCTGCTCCGCCTTTCTATCCATGTAAGGAAAGCTGCAGCTTGGACCAACAGTTCCAAAATGCCATGCACTGCCACTTGCCGCTGCAGCAGCAGCAGCAGAAAAAAACGGGGTCTGGACCTGCAGCAGATCCGGTTAGGTTGTTGGCCACACTCAAAGAAGAAGAAGAAGAAGAAGAAGAAGAAGAAAAAGACACTGTTAGAGGGGCAAGAACAGACTGACATGCAACACTAGAAGTAGGGTAAGCAGCCGGAAGGATACTTTCGCTTGGCTGCACATTAGCGAACTGTTGAAGCTGGTCACGGTGCTAGTACGCCATCAGCGCCATGTCCTCACGCAACGTCTTCAGTTCGTCGAATACTTTGGCGAGTTGGCCAGTATGGTCCTAAACAGCGTGGATGTCTATTAAAGCCCGAAGGAGTGGAGCGATTTTCTCTCCCACCTCCTCATCAGTTAGGGCAGGCACGATACAAAAAATAGCTTCATGAGCCTTTACCTTATGCTCCCTCTCCTTCTCCTTCTCTTCCTCTTCTTTCTTCAATGCTTTTTCATAAAAGAACAGGTACAATGCTTTTTCTGCCTCAGGGGCAGCGTCCATTTGCAGCTTCCAATCTGCTGCAGATGCCATGATGGAGGATGAGGGTGTTAAGAAGTGTCTTAAGAGGGGTCCGTACTTCCTCACACTTCTGGGATGAACGCTCCTCTTCCCTCTCCTCACTCCCTCGAGAGCAACACTTAGAAGCTTCTCTCTTCTCTCTCTCTCTTTCGTTTGCGATCGTGTAGACAGACATTTAACGAACCAGTAAAAGAAACAGCTTGAAAGCAATGAGAAGAGAAGGTAGAACTCCCACCCGGAGCGGCAATTCATTTGGACTGGAGAGCAGTCAAAACAACAAAAATGAAATATCAGAGAGATCTGATTCAGCCACACAATTTGGATCGACTACGTTTGAGGTCCTCTCAAGCCTAGCCGGACTCAGCTCCGGGAAGACACAACAAATAAAATTCAAAGTGTACTACGTAAATGCAAGAGAGAATTGAGTGGTGTCCAAGGTGCGAGTCAGGCGGCGGATCGTGCGGTAAAGTCTGATAAAACGTCTCAATTGAGATCCCCTCAGCAGTGAGTGCCCTGGTCCGAAAGCATGAACTCCGAGTCCCAATCAGATAGAGTGAGGTAACTGACGTCAACAGATTTGGGCCTGAGGGGCCCTTCTTGTTTGGGCCCGGTCCCACTGAGTTTCGAATGGTCCCAGTGGAGTCAGAACCGGGTCCAATCCAACAAGAGTTCCACAAAGACCTACTTTTTGACCCTACCGAATTGAAAAACGAAATCTAGCCCCTAAAAGAACCTACAAACTACAGTTGTTCATTATGAAATAAACAAAGCAAGATACTCCATTGGTGAGTAAGCAGTTCACACACCTCACACACAATCAAGACTATGGAGGATGCAAGAGGAACCCAAAAAAACCCAACAGGCAGTCAATTCCATGCACACACACATGGGCACCCTGGCGGCACGACACTTACCTGAGTGATCGGGCTCTTGAGATGAAAGAACTCACCCCCCTCTCACATAGTCCTCCTGACCCAATTAGCATCCTCTACACTAGTGTCCTATCATCTACGAGGGTCAACATCTACCCCAAAGTACAAAGTCGGATCCCTCGTCGATGTTGAAGATCAAAGCAGCAACTTGCAATCCGTATGTGCAGATATGGCTGCCACCCTCAAGCTCGCCTAACTTGAGGGGAGCCCTAAAGTCACTCCTCGTCTTCCTTGAAGTGCAGATTCAAGTTGTAGGTGCCCTTCACTGTTGCCTCTCTCAAGTTGCATCACGAAGTCCCACCTTGTGTCTCGCCACCACAAACATGCCCTCAAGCAACCTGGCCGGGTCTAGTGTCGACCCTACACGGCCCTGCCAGGTGGGGGCAGCTTACCTTTACCATGCTGCCCCACTTAACCCAAACTTCCGTCGTAACCCTAAGTGGTTAGCCCTTACGACTAGGGTTAGGGTTATGGCAGCAAAGTCAACTCTCGCCAGCAAGTAGAATTCGCTGCGATACCAATGTTACAATCCTGGCCAATTTTGAAGTATACATACATCAGAAAGTACAATGCCGTCCAATTGCAAAAAGAAATGAATGAACTTGAGAGGAGAGAGAGGGAAAGAAGAAGAAGTAAGAAAGAAGAAGAAGATGTACTCCAGCATAGACCAATGACAAGGCTCTTCTTCCTCGCCAACCATTCTCCTCCTCCTTATCTCCTCCCCTCTTATTCAAACAAGAAATAACAATAATAATGTTGAATGGCGGAACCAGAATCAATGCCCGAATCCCACTTCTACTGCAGGCACAACATGAGGTCCACCATAGCCATGGCCACCCTTCCTCTTCCTTTACATATAGGCTGAGGCTATGTTGGAGTATTGAGGGCTCTCCATCCTGTCCAAAGGACAACCCAAAGCAGCTATGTCGCTGCCCTTTTGTTTCCAGGTCAACTCCGTGCAGCTACGCCGCTGCCTACTCATCCGCCATGCCTGACTCTGTCCCGAGCTTCCTTGATGGGCACTACCCCCACCGGGGCCTTCTAGATGCAGCGCCTAACAAGGTGATGAAGATGGTGTCTACCATAGCCAGGTAAGTACCCCGCCACTCTCCTCCTTGGTCCCCTTCTCCCTCCTCCTCCTACCGGTAGAGCTCCACCTTAGCCAAGGTGGAAGCTTGCGGCTTCTTCCTCCCAGCAGCGTTGTAGTACCCAGTGCTACTCCAGCCAGCGCTCCAGCAGCGTGTCGCCAAGTTTGCACACTGAAGAATGAGGTCGAGCTCTTGCCTCGACCTCTTGATATAGCGGCCTGCTTGCCTCCTTGGCGGTGACTTGCAGGCCGATCGGCCTCCCAAGCAACCGGTACCTCCTCCCTTTCGGAGGGAAACATCATTGCAGACTTTGATATTGCCCGTACAGGCTCTATACTGAGACTGGATGGACTCGCACCGGCCTTGACCTAGCCTACCGCTACTGGGCCTCTAAAAATGCCAACTTTGTCTTCTCCTGCTCGGCCTCGAGTACCCGGCACATCTACTGCTACTGGGTGTGGTATTGGCCTACCTGCTACTTGAGTGTTTTTTCGCTGCTCTAAGCACGGCGGGCCCCTGGCTCTGCTACTTGAGTGTTTCCCTACTGCAACCCTCAATGCCACGACCACAGGTAAGTACCAGCCCTACAGGCCTGCCAAACAAGCAAGTAGCCTTGCGGGTCACACACACACTCATGCCGACAAACACTCAGACAAGCACTCAGACAGGCATGCAAGTCCACAGGCCCGCACACATACAGACTCAGAAAACACAGCAGAATGCGGGAATCTTGGCAAGGGATCCATTCCATCGGCAGAACTTCAGAAATCAGTAGTGTTCTAAGTCTGTTATGGGGGGTCATTACACATAGTAGACTAAAAGTGCAATTTGCTACATAGAATCCTCACAAGTCACAAAGGAAAGGCGAGTAGATCACATCCAAGAAACAATGAAGTAAAGATAGGTCAATCATAGTGAAACGGTATTCACCTGTTAGCAGAACCGGATGCAGGTCCCAGGGCTTGATCCCTGGTCCTCACTTTACCTGTGTACAGTATGTGTGTCGACCCAAGTGTTTGAACCCGTGACCTGTGTTGTGATAGTTGTTGTTGTCTGTCATAGGTCTGTGTAGTGGTAGGGGTTCGATCTGTAGGTCTGTCGAGTAGGAGTCACAACCCTGTAGAGGTCGTAGCTGTAGGAGTCCCGAAAGGTCAAGGTCGTAGCTGCAACAGTCCTGAAAGGTCATGGTCGTAGCTGCTACAGTACTCGAAAGGCCAAGTCCACAGTCTTTCGGAAGGTCTGGAAGTGGCCTTTCGAAGCTCTCTCACGTTTTAGTTAGAGGCAAGTGGGCAAGTGGTGAGCCCAACTGCATTACGTTGGCAATGCGACTGCATTGAGTTGGCAATGCAAATCCCTGCAGTCAGCGGTACCGGTCCAATCAGTCCCAGTCCAGTCAAGCAAGTACCGTGAGGGATTGTGTGCAACAAAGGCCTGGTGGAGAGGGGCAGACCAACGAGTTACAGAGGTATAAATCAAGAGGCAGCACCCAGTCATTCATTCATTCGTTGTGTAAGCCATGCGGAAGTGCTCCTACAGCGTCTTGTGCGAAGGTGGTTTGCAGGTTGCCCGAAGACAAAGTGGGCTGAAGGGAGATTGTAACCATAGTCAGTACTGGTAGTGCGACCATAACTGTTGTAGGAGGAAGTAAGACTAAGCGTGTGTGTGTGGTGGTATTCAGGGTGATCCAGAGTGAGCGTGTGTGAACAGTGGGGTTGGACACAGTGACGAAGGTTGGGATGTTCAGGCGCCTATGCGCCATAGCCTGTTGAAGTGAACTTGCATCTGAATTGTGTTCTTGATTTCCATATCTCTAAGCTTTGAGTGGGCACACTGCGCCAGTGTGAATCCCCATTTGTTTGCATGTATGTGAAGTGGAAGTGAAAGCGAGTCTGATTGCACTGGTATCGGAGCTGGTTCTCGTTACCCCACGCGACATTGTCGTTGCTGATAGGGAAGGAGGCGCGCGCTAGTGAGGCGCCATAGCCGAGGTGCACCATCGGAGAAGGAAGTCCGCGATAGCTGCGCTGTGGAAGAAGGTGCCGTGTACCTGCACATACGACAACGAGAGAGAGAGAGAGAGAGAGAGAGAGAGAGAGAGAGAGAGAGAGAGAGTTGAGCAATACAAGATTGGTTGTGGTCCAAGAGGAAGTGGCGGCCATAGCCGCAGAGCTTGAACACGGAGTGACGAAGAAGGAAGGAGGAGACATAGCCGGGAGGAAGGAAGGAGGGACAACGAAGTTGAAGACAGACAAAGTCGAGGGTGAAAAAAGAAAAAGAAAAAAAAGAAGAGAGAGGAAGGAAAAAGAAAGGGGCGAGATAAACGAAAGGTGAAGAAGGTGAAGAAGGTGAAGAGAAGGGGAGTTGGCGAGGAAGAAAGTGCCGACAGCCATAGCCCAATTGGGAGTTGACGAGGTGTTGACGAGATCGTTGATCGGGGTTTGACCATGTTGACCAGGCGCTGACCAAGGCGTTGATCGGAGCTGTTGACCGCGATTTTGATCAAGTTGGAGTTGGTATAATTTCGCCAAGCCCTTAGCCTATCCCCTCGCTTTATGGATGTGTAGTTTCCCTATGGTACTTGCTGAGTTCGAGTCTGTTCGTCTCTTCTTTCTGCATCGAGTCTCTTTTGTCCTAGTGATAGGACTCCGTGTATGAAGGATAGGGCCTCGTTGACCAAACCCACACGGGGTGAGTAGGGCTAAAGGCTGTGTCTGGCGACTCGATTGTCCTGGAGGACACAAACCCTTCCAAGGACCGGTACTAACCGGCGGGCTGCTCGGTGTGGCACGGTAGGCCCAAAATCCGAGGTGTGGGCTGCACAACGGGCCGTCGAAGTCTTGAGAGAACCTGCTGATCACGTTGTCTTGTCAGCGACGTTAAAGAATTGTTGAGGAGATACAGAGGATTTCATTAAATGTGTCCAGATCGGCAATAGGTTCTGTGGTGACGGCTGTAGTTTAGAGGCTAAGCTAGAGACCATAGTTTGCAAGGTTCGATTCGAATCTTGTGGTCCTTAGATTGAGTGTGTCTTAAGTTGAGTCAGTTATGGGGAGAGTCTAAGTGGTGAGGAGTGGAACCGTCACTTGGTTGTGCGTTTATCACCATGGTTGACACGCGTACAGGAACGAGCACCTCCCCTTACACAGCAGAACAGGAGGCGAAAGCCACTGCCGTCTTGAAAGAGAGAAGAGAGAAGGAGGCCAAGAAGAAGGCCTTGCTGGAAGAACAGGTGGCGAAGAAGAAGAAGATTGAGGAAGAGATGGTGAGAGAAATGGAGAGGTTGCAAAAGGAGGAGGAAGAAAAACTCCGAGCGGTAGAGGTGGAAGAAGAGGTAGAAGAATAGCCACTGGAGATGAGAAGGATAAGAGAAAGAGCAGGTCCCAGTGCTGCGAAGGAAGATCCGTTGGAGAAGAAGATTATGGAATGGGTGGTCAATCTTTCCCTAGGAGAAAAGGAGGAGGCATTGATGTATGTAACCAGGGAAGAGCAGGAGGCGGCCATGAAAGAGTGGGATGCAGAGGAAGATCCTCTTAAGCGGCAGACAATCGAAGATGAGAAGAGGATGGAGTGGAAGCTGCGACTGATGAGGGAAAGGAAAAGAAGAGTAGACGCACTGAGCCAGGCGGCAAGGGAATTGGAAGAAGTTAAGAAACAGGGAGAGCAAGTGGCGGCGTTGGCGGACCTTTTGGGGAAGATGCCGGTTATGGCGAGGAACATAGAGTGCCTGACCCAGGTCCAGGAAGAGCAATATCAGTTTGGTAGGAGTCAGGACTTAGCCCTGCGATCTGTACAACAAGGATTTAGGGGCTTCGCACGTGAGTTAGTGATGCAGGTGGGCTTAGAGGTGAAGGCCCGCTTAGAAAACAGAGAGCGTTATTGCACGCGCGCCATAGAGGGCGCCAGGCTGGCTGCTCCCAAGGAAGAAGAAGCACGTCCTCGTAGGGAGCCTGTCAAAGTGAAATTCCCCGACTCCTATAGTGGAAAGGAGGAGAACTTCGACAAACGGGAAGCGAATATTAAGACGTATGTGGACTTACAGAAAGTCGCCCCAGATGAACACGTCTTGATAGCTATCCATGCTCTTAGGGAGGAAGCAGCAAGCTTCGCTTGTTCCTTGTGTTGCGCCGCTAATTGCAACGATGACTTAGTTGCATATTTGACATTTACCCATCTCAGCGATTTCCTTAAGTTATTGAGAGAACGGTTTGCAGACGTTACCCGAAGTGTCGAAGCTTCAGATAAACTGCAAACCATCCATTTTCGCCAGTGGAGGAGTGTCAGGGCACTCAAAGGTGTGATGGACAAGTTGGTTGTCGTTCCAGACCATGGGGTCACTGAGACCCAATTGGTCAACCTCTTAAATCGTGCTATGCCCGCACAGCTACGCGGGCATCGCCTGATCCTTACACTAGATGAGGGTGGTATGGATGAAGTCCCCAACGATCAGATAGAGTGGTGACTAGAAGAGGAAGTGGATAGTAGCGCTAGCCAGGGGAGGACTTACGATGGGGGAGGAGGTAGAGGCCAGGGCCAAGGGGGCCGGGCCTCGGGTGGTCGTTCCCAGGGCGATCAAGAGGTTGACGGCAGGGGAAACCACCAAGCGGGAGGTAGGGGTCAAGGTCCCCCGCAAAACCATTATGGAAATAGGTCACCGAATAGGGGTAATAGGTCACCCTATAGGAGAAGTGGTTGGCACTAAGGTCTGCCACAGGGCCGACCTTGGGAAGATTTGGGCCTAGACCAGCGCGTCTGGCAATAGAGTGTGGAGCACTGGCAGTGCATATATTGCGGTGACCATGGCCACATCATCAAATATTGTCCGAAGCGTAGAGAGGCCCGATGGGCTGCCTTGGGGTCAAAAGGCAGCTGTCCGTAGGGGTTGCAACTGCCCCTACCATAAGGCCATGTGGGGAAACGAGCGCGAGCCGACAGGAAACTCCCACACCACATGCGCCTATGGCAGAGGTTGTAGGCCGGTGCCTAGATAGCTGTCCAAAGACTGCATGTGTCAGAGTCTCTTTAGGCACCTCCCTCACAGGCGTGGCTGACGAGCTAAAGGAAAGAATGCCCGCTTGGGCCAAGATGAACAACGAGAGTAGAGGACAACTAGTACTACTAGATGTAGAAGTCATTAGGAGCAGAGTAGGGGCCCTCGTAGACAGTGGGGCCACTCACAACTATATTAGTAGAAAGGCGTTGCAAAGGTTAAAGTTGGAATTGAAAGTCCAGAAGTTAGCAGACCCCATAGTAAGTATCCTTGCTGATAATCACACAATGCGAGCATAGGATTATGTAGAGGGAGTCCAGGCGTACTTCAAGATCAACGCAAAGAAGTGCGAATGGGCAAAGACCCAAGTTTTGTATCTAGGCCATGTCCCACTCGAGGACAGCATTAAACTAGAAGATAGCAAAATCACAACGATTAGAGATTGGCTTACACCCCGCACGTTGACAGAGTTACGGTCGTTCCTAGGCCTAGCTAACTATTACAGGAAGTTTGTGAGAAACTTCTCCACCATCGCTGCACCCCTTTGCAGGTTACTGAAGAAAGAAACAATCTGGAAGTGGGACAAGGACTGCAAGTCTGCCATGAAGAAATTGAAGCAGGCATTGATAGAGTACCCAGTCCTTAAGGTAGTCGATCCTCCTTACCTTTCGTCGTCACTACTGACGTGAGCCAATATGGTATAGGTGTTGTATTACAGCAAGTCGATGGCAGTGGATATAGATCCGTAGAGTTCATGTCTGCTGAAGGAAGATTGTAGCCATAGTCAGTAGTGGTAGTGCGGCCATAACCGCTGTAGGAGGAAGTAAGACTAAGCGTGTGTGTGTGCTGGTATTCAGGGTGATTCAGAGAGCGTGTGTGAACAGGGGGGCTGGACACAGGGACGAAGGTTGGGATGTTCAGGCGCCTATGCGCCCTAGCCTGTTGAAGTGAACTTGCATCTGAACTGTGTTCTTGATTTCCATATCTCTAAGCTTTGAGTGGGCGCCCTGCGCCAGTGTGAATTCCCATCTGTTTGCATGTATGTGAAGTGGAAGTGAAAGCGAGTCTGATTGCAACAATATCCATACGGTTTATTAAACTCAGAGTCTCAATCTGTCAGAATAACCCAGAACTGTGATGCGCTGCTCAGAAATGAGCAGTGCTCCTTTCCCGAACCCGGACTAACCGCTATCACTACCCTGAGCCCCTGAAACCAGCGCCACTCAGATACTGCCTCCAGAGGGGAAGCGTNGCAGTGCTCCTTTCCCGAACCCGGACTAACCGCTATCACTACCCTGAGCCCCTGAAACCAGCGCCACTCAGATACTGCCTCCAGAGGGGAAGCGTCACCCTGAAACAGGCCCATGCGCCTATGCAGTGCTCCTTTCCCGAACCCGGACTAACCGCTATCACTACCCTGAGCCCCTGAAACCAGCGCCACTCAGATACTGCCTCCAGAGGGGAAGCGT